TTAGGCAGCGCCAAGGAACCCACAGTCCTCCTCCTCCATGCAAGCCTCATTCCCTTCTAGCACTGATGATGTTACCTAGTTGGGTAATGAAATGTCCGCAAGGAAACAAGCCAGCTCAGGGAGCACCAAGGAACCCACAGTCCTCCTCCTCCTCCTCCTCCTCCTCTATGCAAGCCTCATTCCTTTCTAGCACTGATGATGTTAACTAGTTGGGTAATGAAATGTCCGCAAGGAAACAAGCCAGCTCAGGGAGCNCATTCCTTTCCAGCACTGATGATGTTAACTAGTTGGGTAATGAAATGTCCGCAAGGAAATAACTCAGTTCCGGGAGCACCGAGGAACCCACAGTCCTCCTCCTCCTCCTCCTCCTCCTCCTCCTCTATGCAAGCCTCATTCCTTTCCAGCACTGATGATGTTAACTAGTTGGGTAATGAAATGTCCGCAAGGAAATAACTCAGTTCCGGGAGCACCGAGGAACCCACAGTCCTCCTCCTCCTCCTCCTCCTCCTCCATGCAAGCCTCATTCCTTTCTAGCACTGATGATGTTAACTAGTTGGGTAATGAAACGTCCGCAAGGAAACAAGCCAGCAACTCAGGGAGCACCAAGGACCCCCAAGAGAAACATTATCTAACGGCTGTTGCCTTCTTTAAATGCGAAGTCTTCTGTGCTTCACTGCCAACATCAGAGGAGATAGCAGAAGATTTGAGAAGCCAACGAACTGCAGATAAATCACCAGTTTAAGCACGGGGTGGGGATGGGGGGCAGCGTAGCCAATCTACACATCTGCTGCTCCCCATCGCAAGCCTAAACAACAGCCGGCCTGAAATGCAAGACAAATGGGCACACTGACCTCCGCCCCACTGTTCAAATTTGCACGCTTGGACTGGGGCAGAGAAAGAAAAACAAAACTTTGCAGCAGGCTCCTAGAGCTGTCCCTCCGACTTGGACCCCGTGTCTCCTGGTTTTTTTCCAAGAAAGCCGAATTTATAGACAGGGAATGCCAACCCTTGTCCTCTTGTTCAAGATGTTTGCCTGTGGGTTTTGGCTCGAGCTTTTATTATACAAACTTGCACTGGAGAGTTGTTATGGAGACCGACATCTTGTAGTGAGGGATTAGAGTAAACAAGAGCATGTTAGTTGGAGCAAACGCTCTCTGAGTCAAGCTTGACTCTCGCATACATTCAGGCAGAATAACGGAGTTGGAGGGGGCCTCGGAGGTCTTCTAGTCCAGGGCTTTTCAACCGTTTCACCCATTGTACCACTTTTAGGATATGGCAACATCCGAGTACCACCAGTTGCCTAGCAAGGTGTCAAAAACTTGATGACCAAAAAAAAAAAAAAAAAGGGAAAAAAGTGATAAAGTACAGGTAGTCCTCGACTTACAACAGTTCGCTTAGTGACTGCTTGAAGTTACAATGGCACTGAAAAAAGTGCCCCCCAAGCCACAGCCGAGCAAGACACCTGCCTGCCCATCCGGCGGCACTCTTCCTCCTGTCCGAGGTTTTCATTGTTGTGAACATTTCTGTTGGGGATTGGCAGTGGGGGTGGGGTGGGGGGGTGTTTGGTTTTCATTCCCCCCGTCTGCTGGGTGGTTGCAGCAGGTTTTGGTCACTTCACATGACCCTGGGACACTGTGACCGTCATAAATATGAATCGGTTGCCAAGCATCTGAATGTAAATCACAAGACCCTGGGGATGCTGCAACATTCCAGCTGATCGGCGCTTCTTCTGGGCTCAGTGGAAGCACCAGGATCAGCGCCGGGTTCCAGCTGGAGCCCGGCGCTGATCCTGGCGCTTCCACTGAGCCCTGAAGAAGCGCCAATCAGCTGGAAAGCGGCACTGATCCTGGCGCTTCCGTTGAGCCCTGACAGCTCGGCAGCTCCAGCCGTCTCTCACTCAGGCTTGTGCAGTGCTGCCACTGGTTCATCTCATTCCCCTCCCCCACTACCACTTTTCTAGGATGGTCACGTACCACCTGCCAGGTACCAATGTACCACAGGTGGTACCTGTACCACTGGTTGAAAAGCCCTGTTCTAGTCCAACCCTCTACTTAGGCAGGGAGCCCTATAGAATTCCAGACAAGTGGCTCTCCAGTCTCCTCTTAAAAACCTCCAGTGATGGAGCGCCCACAACTTCTGGAGGCAAGCTGTTCGTGTAGTTTTCCTGAAAATAACGTGGATGTGGCTCGCCGCTGTCTCCTTCGGAGATGTGTTTCCAACTTTCTGACTTACAGATGGGGCACTTCCTCGTGGTCTCCCACCCCCAAACTCACCAGCTGAAACTTGCTTAGCTTTTCAAAGGTCACCTAAAAGTCACTTCGATGTTACAAGACGATGCGGAACAAACTGGGTCACAACCGAGGTAGTGTATTTCAAAGTTCACCCTCAACTTTGAAGGACTCAACTCCCGAATCTGCCTGAGCTTCACGGACAATGTTGCAGCAACAGGAGCAAAGGGTTTTGGAGGAAAGATACACATTGTTCCCAAAAGTCTACCTCCAGTAATCATCATTGTATCTTTCTAAAGCTAGATAACTGCAATGTGCTGTACAGGGAGACCGTTGAAGGTTGTTTGGACAATTCACAAATTTATCACCCAGTTGGATTGACCTCGAAGGGGTGAATTATAAATGGAGACAGATGGCTTCAACCCTTCTTTAGATGTTTTATTCGGTCATCTTGATCCAGTCTTTTCTCTCCTGACCTGAGGCAGCTAAGTGACAGTTTAAGCATATTTCCTGAATTAGCCACAATCGCTTGAGTTTGCATAACTTGCGAAGCTATAAAGCCCATCTTAGGAACCACAATTGCTGGGTTCAAATAATCTCTGAAAACAAAGGCAAACCGACCCATGACTGGGATGTCTCCAACCAAGTTCGCCCTTGTCTGGGATTAAACAGAGGGGATAAGGAGGGGTGAACAGCTGCGGCTTTGAAGACCCTTAGAACAGAGAGGCAAAACATGTCTGCTGTGTTTTCCTTGCCTTTCTGTCCTCACCAGTTTCTTGGAATTTGTTGGTTTTTTTTTAATGTATAAGCAGTTCATCTGGGACAGGGAAGAAGAAACATTCGGCGTTCCAAGAATCACTAGTTACCATCCTTGGAAATAGTTGCAACAGAAGTTTGTTTAACAGCTTGTAAAGCAAGAATTATTTCCATTCTTGGCAGAGCTTCCCTTTTTCACTTGAGGTCCCTTTGACTTAGGATGAACAACTAGGGAACAAATAAGCACCACTTGAATTTCCCCAAAATCCACAGAGGCTATTTTTGGAGTGTCTTCTTTTAATTGACTTTATAACCCAAGAACCAGCTTTTTTTAAAAAAAAAAAAATGCTCCAAATGAATGCTACTTTTAAAACAGTGGGGTTATTTCCCCTCTCTCTTCTACACATTGCTTTCATGGGGTGAGAAACCATAGCCCCTGAATGATGGTTAGTCAGCAACTCTCAGGAAGTATGGTTATGGTTAACAAGCACTAAGAACCAGGCCCTTATCCCAAAAGCCCTGTTGGATAAGACCAAAGATTCATCTCCATCAATCTTGTTTCTTCTATCTAAGTTGTAAAGCAGGGGTCTTCAAACTTGGCCTTTTTATGAGGTGTGGACTTCAACTCCCAGAATTCTTCAACCAGCGTGCCTGGATGAGGAATTCTGGGAGTTGAAGTCCACACGTCATAAAAGGGCCAGGTTTGAAGACCCCTGTTGTAAAGGATGTTCTCCCTTATTTAGTTCACATCCTGACAAACAGGGGTAAACCATGTCCATATGCAAAGTTCCCTTTCAGCTACAAGCAGAAGACCCTAAGGACAATTCGGTGGGTCACATATAGAGCCCAAGCAGCATCTCGTGTCTTGTAGTCATAGGACGTCCGCAAACTACACATGAAGGCAACGGCACGGCCATTTTGCCTAGCTCATGATTATCCAGATGTGTTGGGTGACACATCAGTGAATCAGCAGCGATGAACTGACTCCACACAAAGAATAAAATATCCCTTTAGCACTCAGAACTCCAAAAATATGGCCATTTTATGTGTTTATTGATAGATTGTGCAGCACCTATAGATCTGACCTTAGTATCATTCACTGATCAAACTACAGGTAGCTCTTGACCTATAACCATTCATTTAGCCACCATTCAAAGTTATTATGGCAGTGAAAAAAGTCACTTACAACCAATCTTTGCACTTACAACCATCATTTCAATGTATGCCGATTAGTGTACTGTAAATTTAAAGTGACAATAAAGTTATTCTATTCTACTCTACTCTACTCTACTCTACTCTACTCTACTCTACTCTACTCTACTCTACTCTACTCTACTCTACTTTCTGGTTTCTATTCTATTCTATTCTATTCTATTCTATTCTATTCTATTCTATTCTATTCTATTCCGCCTTCTGGTTTCTATTCTATTCTATTCTATTACCTGTTCTTCTATTCTATTCTATTCTATTCTATTCTATTCTATTCTATTCTATTCTATTCTATTCTATTCTATTCTTCACACCATCATGTGAATCCCAACTGTGGTTGCAATTCAAGGAATACTTGTAAAGCATCTCATGCTGTCCTGGCTTAGGGCTTGGTGTGCCAGGTGAATCTGGGTATTGTGGTTTATAAGCTTGTGGTTTTATGACCTGGGGCAGTGTGTGAACCTCACCCACTGTGCTTAAGTCATCAAGCTGTGGTTAAGCAAACGATTGCTTAGGAATCGCTTATGAAATCCTAGTCTGGCTTTTCAAAGGCACCCGTATCCTGTATACTTAGAAAAATAAGGAAGACCATAACAAAGCCATCAACGTCCATGAACTGAGGTTTTTCATACGCCGTGCTTCGCTGCTTCCCACGATCCAGGCTGCGCCTAACCTTTTAAAGCAACCCAAGCAGGCAGCTGAGCGCTTCCGACGAGCCGGGCTTGGGTGCGCGCATTCTCCAAGCAGGCAGCCCCGATCTCCCTCCCCCCCCCACCTCCTCCTGCGTTGTTCCCGGACCCCGCTTACCGCTTCCGAGGGTGGAGAAGCACTGCCAGCCGCCCAGGAGCTCCCGACACTCCTTCCAAAGGGAGAGCGAGTAGCGTTCCGACGTGACCCAGGCCGGGCTCAGCAGCGCAGCCACATCCAGAGCCAGCGCCAGGAAGGCGCAGAGCAGCGCGATCAGCTGGAACGGGCGCACCGTCAAACCGCCCTCCTCGGCCGCCGACATCCTGGCCGGAGCCTCCCCCGACAGCCGCGGGGTAAGAAAGAGGGAGAAGAACCGACGGAGAGAAGCCGAGAAGCGCCTCGCCTTGCGCGGCTCCAGCGGCGAAGTTGGCCAAAGGGACGGGCGAGGCGAGGGTCCCGCCCGCCCCGGGGTCCGCCCCTTCCAGCCCCTTGGAGGACGGCCGTCGGATCCTAGAGACCCCCGAGCCGGACTGGGGAGACCCGCCGCCGGCTGGGGTTGGCTTTAGAGCTGGGGAAGGGGGTGGGCAAAAATCGGGACGAGCGTCGGAGGCCAGCACGGAGAGGCAGACGGCCCTGCGCCCTCCCCCACCCTGCCTGGGCTTTCAGCCAAGAGGGAGGGTCTCCCTCGACGTGACCCTGTTGTGTCTCTGTCTCTCTTTATTTAGGATTTCTAGATTTATTTCTTCGTGCCAGCCAAGTAGGGGAAGCCTGCCCCGGGCACAAGAGGGTTCCTTGGCTTGGCAATCGTGGACGTTGGAGTGACTGGACCCAGTTAGATCGAGGGTTTAAGGCTCCGGTTGATCCTGGAACTCTCTGGGTGGTTTGGGGCCAGCTCCCTTTCCTCCCTCCCTTTCTCTGCCCAGCCTACCTATAATAATAATAATAATAATAATAATAATAATAATAATAATAATAATAATAATAATAATAATAATAAAGTTGGAAGGGACCCTGGAGGTCATCTAGTCCAACCCCCTGCTCAGGCAGGAAACCCTATACCATTTCGGACAAATGGCTGTCCAGTCTCTGCTTAAAAACTTCCAGTGTTGGAGCATTCACCGCTTCTGGAGGCAGGTTGTTCCACTGGTTAATTGTTCTAACTGTCAGGAAGTTTCTCCTTAGTTCCAGGTTGCTTCTCTCTTTGGTTAGTTTCCACCCGTTGCTTCTTGTCCTGCCCTCAGGTGCCTTGGAAAATAGCTTGACTCCCTCTTCTTTGTGGCAGCCCCTGAGATATTGGAACACTGCTATCATGTCCCCCCTCGTCCTTCTCTTCATTAAAGGGCTGTTGTTGAGCAGAGGGACTGGGGTGCGCTTTCTGGAGTTTCCCCAGGGGAAGGTGGAATAGAACTGCCTTAAACGGAACGAACGGGGAGCGAAGAGGTGGAAGAGAAGTGACTGAAATAAACAAAGGAATAAATGTAAAGAGGTGGAAGAGAGAGCGTTTTTTTCAATCCAGGAATAAATTAATGTAAAGAAGTGGCAGAGAAGTGCTTTTAAACAAGTGAACGAAAGGGTGGAATACAAAGGCTTCAAAGGAATAAACGGATTAATATAAGGGTAGAGCGTAAAGGCTTTAAACAAACAAGTCGGCCTTAGCGCGTTTATTTTGACATTAAGATGTCGTGGGAATGGGAGGCCACTAAAAATGACAAAAAAACAGAAGAGGTTAAAAAAGGACAACAAAAATGTACCGGGCAGGCTGTAGTGCTGCAATTAAAATTAAATTGTGTACAAAATAAACACAGGGCGATTTGAAACCACCATCTGGTTGGCTGCTGTGGGAACTTTTTGGTCCGTGGTCTAATCCAGCTCCCCTGTTGTTACATTCTTCTGTTGTCTACTGGGGATGAAGAGTTTCCCCGCAGAAGACATGATCTGCATGCAAAAGAGCAGGACAGAATAAAACTGAATAATCTTCCCGGAGCAAGGGGACCCCTTCCAACAGGACTTTAGCCCAGATAGTCAAGACTCAAATATTGCAGAATGAGCTGGATCACTTTCCCAAACGCACAATAACACTTCTCCTTTCTTGGAAAACCATTACATCCCAAGCTAGAAACTTCTTCGTCTTGTGCCATATCCGTTATCGGACGTTGGCGATCATGTTGGCGATCCTGTTTTTATCAGCAGCCGCACGAAAAAGTGCTGCTGAGTTTTGTCCAAACCAGTCCCTTAGATTTTGAAGCCACGATGTTCTTCTTCTGCCTGGACCTTGTTGGCCTTCCATCTTTCCCTGGAGGATTAAATGAAGTATGCCGTATTTTTCTGGGTGTCGCATCACACGTCCGAAATATTCTAACTTTCATTTTTTAATTATTTTGATGATTTCCCTGGGCTTTCCCAGGCAGCTTATCACCTCCTCATTTCTGATCTTGTCAACCCAGCTTCTACATAACAGCTGCCTGTAAATCCACATTTCAAATGCTTCTAGTCTCTTCAGGAGGCCTTCTGTCAGAGACCAGCTCTCTACTCCATAGAGCAGGATAGAAAAAATATAGGATCTGACAAGCCCGATTTTCAGTTTTAGGCTTATGTCTAAGCCTAAGCTAGAAACATTGGATGGCAATTTAGGTAACTGAATTGTAAAGTGGTTAAAAAAGGGGGGGGAGGGATATAGTTATGCTTTCAAACTGCATCCATTCCAGAAAAAAGAGATGCACTAATTAAAAGGAAGACAAACGTGTGGATCTTTTTACAAAGTTCGTATTATCGTATTCGTTAGGACTCTTGATAGCTCGTTTTTTCTGTGGATGACAACCTGATTGAAACTTTCAAAGTTTTAAAAACTTTTTTAAAAAAGGGGGACCAAACAGCAAGAGGCGATTAATAAAGGGCCCACTGATCCTGCGGCTCTCGCGGCCCCCACCCCCTCTAATGTTCAGAAATGACAGGTGTAAGCTAAGCTTTGTATCACGAGGAAGGAATGCACTCTTTTGTGCAGCCTGGTGCTTTATGCTCGTGAATCACATTTCCCTCCACCTCCCCGGGAGTTTATAAATAGGCCGGGCAGCTGCCAGGGGGCCGTGAACTCAGCAAGCCTGCTGTAAACAGTATCCAGGAAGGCCGAGGAAACAAATGGAATTTCAAAAGCCACTCGGACCCTGCTAGCCGATGCCAATGGCACGTGTGGGGGAAAAAAAAAAAAGAGTTCCTCTTCTAGTTATGCTAACGGAACAACTTGTTGGCCCAAAAATACAAAAAAGGTGCCTCCAGGACCGATTGTTCCAGTAAAGGCAGGAATAGCAAATTCAATTGTTTGCATTTTTGTCGACGCATGCAAGGGGCACCAGCCGGTGAGAGGAGAGAGAGATTTCGCTCGGGAAAAACCTGGTGAAATAAACTTGGCAATAAATGGGACATGTACGAATCGTGGGCTTGTTTCTCCTGTTCTGTTGCATTTTGCAGCATCGCCAGTAACTTATAGTAACACCACTGCAATGGAGTTACACCAACCCCCCCCAGATAGGTTCAAGAGCGCTTCTGCATATTAATAAAGAGTCTGGCGTAAATTGGACGAGCTGATTTCTAGCCTCAACCGGACCTGAGGATGTTATGATACAGGTAGTCCTCGATTTACAACAGTTCACTTAAAGTTACAATGGCACTGAAAAAAAGCCACCGATGACTGTTTTTCACACTGATGGCCGTTGGTGCTCATCCCCGCGATCACAAAATCCAGACGCTTGGCAACTGACTCATATTTATGACGGTCGCAGCGTCCCGGGGTCATGTGATCCCCATCTGACAAGGAAAGCAAAAGGGCAAGCCAGCTTCACTTAACAATCTTGTTAGTAACAACTGCAGTGATTCACCTAACAATGGTGGCAAGGAAGGTTGCAAAACGGGGGACACTCGTAGCAACTGTCTCACTTAGCGACAGATAGCTTGGGCTCAATTGCGGTTGTACGTTGAGGACTCCCTGCATAGCTGGGAACAAAATGCAGCTTCTGTTCTTCGACATTTGGTCAATTTTGTGCCATTTTATGAATTTTATGAATTCTGCAGGCAGATTAACCCCCAGCCGGCCGCACCTTCAAGTTCACAGCCATGGAAAAACACCCTCAAATGCCACTTGTCTTCCTCCATCTCTCGCTGAGGCTGCTTCCTTGACAACTGCATCAGGGAAAGACAAAAAATAAAATAAAATAAAAGTGACACCAATCCCCTGGAGATAAGGACCGTAGTAGAATCATAACCTCAAGGAAAGGAAACCTTCAGCTGGCAGGCAGGGCTCAAGTTGCCTCATTGATCTGGTGAGTTAAAACAGAGATGAGGGCAAGATGGAAATCCAGTTAGGGCCGGATTTGCTTTATAATAATAATAATAATGATGATGATGATAATAATAATAATAATATAAAGTTGGAAGGGACCTTGGAGGTCATCTAGTCCAACCCCCTGCTCAGGCAGGAAACCCTATACTATTTCGGACAAATGGCTGTCCAGTCTCTTCTTAAAAACTTCCAGTGTTGGAGCATTCACCGCTTCTGGAGGCAGGTAGTTCCACTGGTTGATTGTTCTAACTGTCAGGAAGTTTCTCCTTAGTTCCAGGTTGCTTTTCTCCTTGATTAGTTTCCATCTGTTGCTTCTTGTCCTGCCTTCAGGCACCTTGGAGAATAGCTTGACTCCCTCTTCTTTGGGGCAGCCCCTGAGATAGTGGAACGCTGCTATCCTGTCCCCCCTCGTCCTTCTCTTCGTTAAACTGGACATACCCAATTCCAGCAACCGTTCCTTATATGCTTTAGCCTCCAGTCCCCTAATCATCTTTGTCTAGGATAATGGCTGATAGGGGCTCCCGCACAACACAACTGCTTTGTTAAGAGAATAATTTGCAGCTGCAGCCGCTCTTTCGAGATACTTCAGTTCTTCAAGGCCAGGCTCTGATCCTCATCAAGAGGGGAGCCATGGGGGGGGGGGGGGAGCAAGATGAAAGCAGTTGCTTGGACCACTGGGGAGGGGATTTCAAGGCTGAGCATTCTGCAGCACCAGCAGGTTGAGGGATGAAATGGGAGAAGAGAATGCTACTGCCAAAAGGGCAGAGGGAGACATCTAAGATTCTCAGTCTGAAGGCAAGCGACAAAAAGAAAAGACACAGGCGGCCTTCTGCTGATTCCTGGTCCCCATGTTTGGCATTCTCTGAAACCTGGTCAATCTCCATGCATTTTTCAGAATCGCAGCATTTGTGTAATGGCCAACACTAAGCCCAGCAAGTAACTACCAATGCACCAATTCAGATGTTATAAACTCATTTTTGTTTCTCGTCAGGGCCCATAAAACNGCGCCTCGCCTTGCGCGGCTCCA